ATTGTTCACTGTAATGTAAAAACAGACTCTTCTTATTTCAGGAAGAAGAAGGAGAGCCAGAAGGAAGCGTGAGTTGAACAGACCATAATTTTTTCTTTCTACCTATTGAAGTTTCAGAAGATTTGGAAGGTTTACTCACCATTAGCAGAGTGCATGCAAAATCATTATCTGTCCAGTTCTATTCTAAGCGCAGGGTTACTGTGAGGGGGACCTAGATCTTTGAATTTCAATCTACTCAGGCACTTTCAAGAGCACAGCTTCCAAAACGTTCACAAGAACTTAAACAACATAAACAGACAAGCCCTACGTGTGAGCGGTTGCGTCGCGGGTTCGCGCTATAGCGCGTTATTTTAGGGTGTCTAAGCACTGCGGGAAGGTTTTGGCGACAGGAGATTTCCTCTTTCGTAACTCTGCTTATTGGCGGTTGCGTAAGGTGTTCAAGCACATTATTCTAAGGTGATTACCGGTTGTAAGAAGTAACTTTCTACGATCAGTGGGCTGTTAAACTGTAGTTTGGTAATGTATATCTCTTTTCCTGCATGTTTCCTCGTTCATGTTTCTTCCAAAACCACTGATGGTTAGCTAGCCACCCCTAGTGGATGAATGAACACAGTTTGGTTATGTGTTCCTATTTCTGCTGCATGCTTCTTGGTTTGTGTTTCTTCTGAGACAACGCTGAGTAATTGCCTTCACTGATAGAACCCTAGTTTAGTAGTATGCCACCTTCTGCACATTTGAGGACACCTCGCACCTCGGTGCGAGGCGATCTTAATTAGTATGAGGACTACATTTTCACTGTGCTCTCTGCATATCTTGATCAAACGAGTGAAAGATAAAAAACTGAAGAGAATGGCAGTGGTGAGAAGGTAAAGCGTCTTGAGAAAAATTATGAATTGAAAAAGTTTTAGTAATGCTGGAATAATAGGTGCTAGTTTTGATGTTTTAATAATAGAAATTTTTTTTGTACACAGGTGAAATGTGAAGTGCGAAACAAAGCGGAGTACCCACAAAGCTGTGAACCGCGAATTTACTGTTTTTGTTTTATTTGCACAAAGTCAACACTCATGGCCAGTAGTAATGGG